ACCATCTCTGTTTCTATTAGCAGAGGTTTTACATTAATAGTTTAGTCTTGACATCTTTAAGAATAAGTGACATGACTAGAAGATTGATGTCTTGTCCCAAGTGTAGGATTGTTGAAGTAATAAATAACCTGGTAAGACCGGGGTCGAACCACAGGAAGGTTAATTCTATAAATTATAAATGACAATAATATAACAATAACAACAACAACAACAACAATAATAACAACAACAATAATAATAAAGAAAAAGGAGAAGAAGAAGATGATGATGAGAACTTTGAGATGTAATATTAATGTAAGGATTAAACAATGATAATAACAAAATGTCAAGGTTAAAGGTTCCACTAATAGTATGTCAAACAAGTATAATATAAACTCTTATTATTCAATTAGAAACCACACACAAAGAAGGCTCCAATCAGATTATAAATTGTTAACATGATCACATTAGTTATCTTATTCGATTAATGTTAATACTTGTAAATCTTTTCAATCATTCATGATTATAACTTATGTTAACAACAAATCAAGTTCCTTTCATAGTTCAGGTATCGGTTATACCATATAGTATAAGCTATGAGAGTGCCAAGTATTTGTTTTACCAAGTGTTATATAACATAAATCTAGATTAGTCATTTACTTGTGTGCCCAAAACATCATTGATAACGTCAAAAATAGAACCACTTGCAAACATGAAAGTTATAGACAATTATGTCATCTTTCTTGTGTAAAACATTCAGCTCATTTAGACTTTTAGAACTCCAGATATGAGCCAAACACTGAATAGTGCTCGGGCTGGAAGACAGATTCAGACTTCTTTGTTATTGCTCCAATTTGGACTTAAAAATGACCTTTCTAGATCTTGTGCTCCATATGAAAGTTGTAGGCCTATGTCTTACCTTTCCATCTATATAAAGTGGACCTAAATCTGAGATTTACAGCTCTATATATGATCTAATTATCAAACAGTGTTCCGATATGGACTGCACTGGTATCTCTTTTTTAAATTTGCTCATCTCTTTGTCCTTTCAATTTTAGTTCTTAAATTCATCAATCAATCCTTTCATTTATGTGATAGGCTTATATTTAAAATGAACAGTTATCATAAATTAAAGGTATCTTATATTATTAGATATGTTATTATAAAACATGCTTTAGTTAAGGAGTTATTGATACTTTAAGTGCAAAATGATGATATAAAACCTTGATAAAAATGAACTTTTAAGTACTAATCAATGCTATATAAAGCAAACAACAACAAATTTTAGAGCATAAATCCCAATCAATTTATTGTTGAAAAATAAAATTGAAAAAAAATCAATCTAAAAAAGACAATAAAATGACTCAAAATAACTCAAGTTAACCCGTAAAAATATGTGATCTACGTTATGAGATTGAGATAACTTAATAAAAAGCAAATAAAAAAATCATGAAGCTTAATTTTTAATTAACCTAATGTTTAATATAAAAAAATATCAATTAAAAAATAAATCTAATTCAACTAAATTAACCTACTAAACTGATTAAATAACTAAGATGTTATTTCAAGAAATGATTTTGGAAATTTTCTTCATGTGTTGAATAACTAAGATAAGAGTTTTGATAGGGCAAAAACATAGGCTCTCTAAGATGATTGACTAGAAGAAGAGAAGGAAGGCTCATTCTGCTACGAACTGACCCTTAGTCTCAAAGAAGAAACAATTACTTGGTGTTATATCTTTAGCACATCAAACATGAGGGTATAAACAATATGGTTGTATAGTGTTTAACTCGTATATTTTCCTTTTAAATTTATAGCAAAATCTTAAAAAAAAGTATTGTGTCCACTATAAAATATAAAGGGTGAACAATGTGGCTACACAGTATTCACCTCACACACTTTATATTATAAATAACTAGTTTTGTATTGACACTCCGTGGCGGGGTGGTTATTTTTTCAAGTAAAAAAATAATAATAAGCAAGCTCTTACAATGCATTTTTGAATGTATTTTTTTTTTCAATCACAAATCAAAATGTCTCTATATATATTTAGTAATTAGATCGATAGTTAATAAATAGATAACAAAGATTAATATATTTGATATCGTGACATGAATTATATGCTTAGTTGTTTTTAACAACTATGTTTCTTAGAGTTTTTTTATGAACTAACCATATATTCCTATAAAAGATAACAAAAAATTCATATTAATATTGAATGAAAAAATTAAAAAAAAACTAATGAAAAAAAAGACAAGTTAAAACTGTATAAATATACTAATTTATTAAACATAAATATATAATTGAGATAATGATATGAAAAGAAAAACTTTTTATGGGACACTGATTAATCTTGGTGATGTCCAAAGTGTATATCAAATATTTTATAACTTGCCATGTGCAACAAATGTATCACAACCTAAATTTAATAAATTATAGTGAAGCTGTACCTTCAACAAAATAGATCTAATATTAGAAAGTTAACGGAAATAATAAATATACCTTTGCCCACAACTGGCTGGTCCCTTCAACAAAATGCTGAGCTGATCCCTATACTTTTAAAGATATTTACAATTCTGTCCCTTCATTAATTTTTCGTTAGTAAAATGTTGAGCTGTCAGCAATATTTCCTTAGTTTGTGCCGCTAACTTAACGGTAAAATGTGATTCAAGGATCAATTAGTTATTTAGATGAATTCGAGGGATTAATCTGTTTGTTTAACAAAAATACAGACACTAGTTTAATAGAATTTACCTCATATTTTAATCATTATATGCGCGAGTGCGCGCGTGCAAGCGAGTGTTTACTTGTTGATGTTTTAGGTCCTGTTTGTTTGCAGGAAAGTTGTTTCCTTTTGGAAAGTGAATTCCGGGGAAAGTAAATTCCGGGAAAAATGAATTCCTTAAAAATAAAGTATTTTCCAATGTTTGGCAGTGTTATGAAAAATGAACTAGAAAACACTTTCCAGTGTTTGGTTATGTTATGGAAAATGAACTGAAAAATAATTTATTAATATTTTATTTTTCTCAAGTTTATTAAAATAATAAGGAATAAATCTTACAAATTAAAAAGTTGAATAATAATGAAATTAAAAAAAAATTCATAAATTATCTCAAATAAAATAAATAATAATCCAAACAATAAAGATCAAATCTTAAAAACAATGAACGTGATTTCCCAAAAACTACTTTCTGAAAAAACAAATACAAGAAAGTTTGGAACATGTTTTCTCGAAAACTATTTTCCAAAAAACAAACACAGCTAAAAAAAAAACACTTTCCTGAAAACCAAGCTAAAGTTTTTTTTTACTAAAAAATATTTTTGTTGATCAGAAAGTATTTTTCGTTGACTAGAAAGTGTTTTCCATTGATTGGAAAGTGTTTTTTGTTGATCGGAAAGTGTTTTTTATTGACCAACTTTCCTAATAACAAACAAATATAGAAAAGTTTGAAAAATAATTTTCCAAAAACTATTTTTCAGAAAACAAACATGGTCTAGCGTCCCTCCCTCCCTCCTCCGCCTCTCGGAAACCGCTGCCGCCAAGAAGGCTTCAGATTTCTGCCAGGTGCTTCTATTTCTAACATGTTTTTGTTTTCAAAATTCATGGGTGTTTTTATTTATTTTATTCTAATAAGTAAATTAAAGAAAAAAAATCGATCCGATGAAATCTCTGCTAGTGAACGCAATTCGATTTTAATAAGTAAATTAAAAAAGTATATAATCGGATCCGATGAAATCGCTGCTCGTGAATGCCATTCAAAGAAACGCACAATTAGCCGATTCTAAATTTTCTTTTTCAATTTTCCCCCTTAATTTACAAGATATTATCCGATTTTTCTCACACTTATTGTTTTAATAATCAAGCCCTGAATTCTTGAACCCAAATTTATTTCATTTTATTTTTTCGTTTCATTTTTAAGTGGAGAATAGAAATCAATTCAAATCTTTTAGGCTCGATCGATAATTTGTTAATTAGTTTATGCAGCAGCTGGAGTGGAAGGGATATTACTGCCGGAATGGCCGAAAAATGAGCTGTTTGGTTGATTCTTCTTTTTTGGAATTTACTGAATTCTTCAAAATTATTGTGTTTTTAACAACAATACGATATCCTTGGGTTTCATGCTCGCTCACACATGGAAAAAAGAAAGAAAGAACAGAACTTTAAATTTTATAATTTGGTCATGTTGATGCTCGTCGTTTTCTTCATTTTCCTAGCTTAAAACATCCTAGACAATCTCTTTGGGATGGGTTATTGTTTGTGGCCTGTTCATGTTCTATTTGCTGGGGTATTTAGATTGCTGATATTCATCGGGATTTGAAAAGCCTTGTTCTATGACTTTGTTTTGTTTTCTTCTTCTTTCTTTATTCTTTTGGGGATGTGGTATTCTCCTCTTTCTATTTACACTCTTTGCTCCCTACAACATTTATTCTTTCAGAAAAGTAAATACATACATAAATAACAACAGGAGAGGAGGGGGAGGAGGTTTGACGGTATGTATTTGGATGCGAGTAAAATTTGGTAAGCACCTGAAAAAGGTCCTGAATCTAAATTGGTAAGATGTGATATACTGATATCTAGAGAGATAACTTAATCTATCTATTGAAGTAAAGCATTTAAATACGTATACAATGTTTTTGGAACATTAAGTTCTTTTTAAATCTATTCAAGTCTGAATAAACTGATATTCCAATTTTCATGACTTTGATGTGCTCTTCTCTTCTGCTGTTCCTGTCTTTCTTTTTAGGGTCTGTTCTAACGTGCAATATAATTATTTTTTTTTTTTGTGGTGATAGAAGTGATTTTTTTTGGTTGGCCAAAACCCCATGGATGCCAATAATTGGAGGCCCACTGCCCCAGGCGGAGAACCTGTGATGGACACAGGTGATTGGAGAACTCAATTGCAGCCTGACTCACGGCAAAGAATAGTCAACAAAATGTAAGCATCATCTGTTTGCTAATATGTGCAAGTGCTGCAAAATAGTATATCTTGTATTTAAATGAATGAAAAAGAGAGGGGCAAAAGGCTAATTAAAATCAGGAGGACTGCCATGAGGCAACCTCAAGTATCATACACCTCTGTTTTTGTCTTTTTCATTTTTCACTTGTTTCTCACAAGAAGTGAACTAGAGGGAATAAAAAGTGCTGGAAGTAATTTTTGTTGTAACTTCTTGTGTAACATCTTTGGTTGGAACTTTTTGGTTGGCCAAAACCCCATGGATGCCAATAATTGGAGGCCCACTATCCCAGGCGGAGAACCTGTCATTGACATGGGTTATTGGAGAATTCAATTGCAGCCTGACTCACGGAAAAGAATAATCGACAAAATGTAAGTATGTGTTTCCTAATATGTGCAAGTGCTGCAAAATAGTAAATTTTTTATTTATATGAAAGAAAAGTAGAAGTGCAAAAGGTTAATTAAAATTAGCTGGACTGCCATGAGGCAACCTCAAGTATCACACACCTCTTTTTTTTTGTTTTTCATCTTTTAATTTGTGTCTCACAAGAAGCAAACTTGAGGGAACATAAAGTGCTGGGAAGTAATTTTTGTTGGAATTTCTTGTGTAATCTCTTCTTTTGATGATGACCTCTTGGATGGCTGCATGAAGCTTGTTCCACTTTTAATTTCAAGGTTAATCTATTGCTATGAGCATACGTGTTTCAATTTAAAACTCGAGTTGCAAATGAACTTAAATGAATGGTGTTGGATTTGGGCCTTCTATTTGTTTTAACTTCTAAAGGGTTGAAATGATGGTGATCTTAAAGTTGAAAAGCAGCAGACAAAAATCAATTAGCCACAATGGTGCATGGTTTCCTAGTTTCTCAGCATAAAGTTGAATGTTTTGTTGACCTCTCTACATTCAAAATCATATAGACAGCTACTGCTGGCACTTGCAGTAGCCAATGAGCCAATGAACACTGTAGTGTATATATTGCAGCGTGAGATAAGGTTATCTCATTGCATTTTCATAAATTAAAGGGATTTCTCTTCTTTTCTTTGTCAATTGTAGTGCATGTATAAAAGTTTTCTTGCTCAGAGGAAATGTTATTGTAATGTTTTCACAGAGTTCCCCTGGTTTGCAATTAATTCACTTGTATATCTTGGAGCATAGCCATAATCCAGATACAGAAATTTAACCATGAAGCTCATAACTAGAATTTTAGACAGAAGGGTGGTCAAGTGAACTCCTATACCCTGTACCTCTGGAATAATACGGGGAAAGGAAGTACAAATAGATGTATGTATTCTGATGCCATATATTACTTGACCGACACTTGGCTATATCATTATTTGTTTTTACTTTTTGCCAATGATTCCGTTGTATGTATTTCTGATATTGGTGTGGTGTATGAGTTCACAGTTCTTTCTCACTGCTGCTAACTTCTCTATACTTGCCTTATCGTTAAAAATTAAATGTAATGTCTTACATGTGCAGAATAGAGATATTAAAGAGGGATTACAAGAACTCAAGAAAATTGTTGGACGGTTTGAGGAAAAGATTTATACTGCCTCCACCAATCAGGTATTCGGCTAATGCTAGGTTCAATAATTTTGATATTCTATAGACATGAATATACACATGCATAAGTGTGGATTTATGCATGTACACGTGTGTGTAGTGTGTCCACACTTCCTCATTGGTCATTCTGTAGAAGATCACAACTTTTTGTCAGTTCTCTTTACAAGTATTTTATTTAGAGTGACCAAGGTCCTTTTCAAGAAGAGAAGTGTGCAAAATGCAAACATAAATAATTAAATAAAAAGAGAGGACACCGAAGTATATGCTACGAATCTCGTAAGCTATATATTAGGAATGGATAATCTGAATACATTGGCTTTCCTAGTGCAAAACTAAGTCTATAGGATGATAAATGTAAGGTGGTCGTAATTGATTCCTAATCTATGGGCATGACTGTAATGCACTTGTATAAATATATGATATGATCAATAATACAATTCATTCCAGCAAATTCTATTCTCTCTTCATAGTTTACAGTATATCCTCACAGACAATGCAAATACAGAAAGCCTAGCATATTAGTAAGAGCATCTATCCCTCTTCCCCCTTCTCTTGTAACATGGACTGCTCAGAGATCTAATGTTTTGTTATTGAAATCTAATTTCAGTCTGATTATCTGCGTAAAACATCTCTGAAGATGCTTGCAATGGAGACCAGGTCTCAAAATACCATACCCACTGGCAACGGTAATGCAGCCAAGCATTGAATTTCTAAACATCCTTACCTTTTGTTTTATATTGCTATGTATATACCATGCTTTAATCAAAACATGTAATGCAGGAATATCTGCGGATGGCCATTCCCAAAGCGAAAACTGATCATCCCTGGAATTATAAAGTGCCATTACTACAGTGAGACACTGAGCAGTGAAATAGTGTTTTTTTTTGTTGGTGATAACTAGATCTGTTAAATCTTTTCCCTGTACTTTTACATTATGCAATAATCTGGTCCCTTCATTACTTTTTCGTCGGTCAAATGTAGAGCTGTCAGCAATATTTCCTCAATTTGTTCCACTAACCTGACGGTAAAATATGATTAAAAACTCAATTAATTATTTAAAAAACTTGAGGGATTAATTTGTTTGTTACACCAAAAACAGACACTAGTGTTTACTTGTAAATATTTAGGAAGGAACTGGTTTATGTTTTGCGCAACATAAAAAAAGTAGTGGATTAATCGGAAATTCCTCTCAACTTGACTTCTTATCCATATCACCATGAAAGTTCTTCTAATATGGTATAGTTATTATGATGAGTTCAATGTTAATTTATCTGACCGGTAAATAAACACAATTTGATTTTAATTTTTTTTAATATTATGATAATATAATATCAATCCAGATTTTATAGTTTAATTCTTCAAAACCACGACATGAATAATGTATTCCATTCGGTTTATGTTTTTAATTATTTTTTACTTAATAATATAATAATAAAAATAGTTGCTCGTAAAATTAAGTATTAATTAAATATTAGTATATTTATTTGAGATTGAAATAAAATTATAGAAAATGAACTGCAATGTGGTCTTTTAAAAGATAAAACTAGAGAAGAGTCTAAAAGGATTCAATTGAAAAAAAGAAAAAAAATAGAAGGTAGGGTCTAAAAACAAAGGAATAATGATATTGTTATTAAAGTTGATCTTAATCTCTTAAATTAACTTGATTTCTTGCCTTGTATAGATTTAAAATTAATTCATAAAAGAGTTGTTTATACATAACCTAGTTAACTTAACATATGCAAATTAAAGCAGCTCAAATGACTAATAAAAGCATGATTTGGATTAAAAAAAACAATTAAAATGATAATTTTTTTAAATATTAAAATAATGATATACTAAATCAACTCCAGCTTCGTGGTCTAACTCATCAAATATGCAGCCCATATCATAAACTTCACTAGGCTTAAAAATTATTTTTTATATAATGATACAATAATTAAAATAGACACTTATCAAAATTGAGATCTTAACAAATTTCATGATATTTGTTTTAGACTATGATAACCACATATAAAGAAATTAAAAAATAACTATGATAATCAATTTAAAATCAACAAAATATTAAAGTGAAATTGAAAGGAAAAAAAGAGCAAAAATCATTCAATCAAAAAAAAATTAGAAGATAGAATTTTTTTTTTTTAAGGGAAAGATATGAATAGCGAAGTAGGAGGGAAAACCTAACTTTTTTAGTATAATAAATAATTTTTAATTAAATTTAAATCTTTATCTCATACAATTAGACCTAAAAAGAGTTAAATAAAAAAGGGAAGAAAATTTCTAAAGACCGATTTGTAAAAAAGTAAAAGGAAAAAAAATGAAAAAAACATCAAATCAAGAAGAAAAAAAATATAAAGATGAATTTTAAAAAAACAAAAAAAAATATAAAGAGTGAAGGAAGTAGAGAAGTATAATCTTTTTTTTTAGTATAGTAGTTTATTTCTAATTAAATTGAAAACTTTATCTCATGTAATTAGGCCAAAAAAATTAAACAAAAAATAAGGACTAATGTGTAAAAACAAAAAACAGAATCAAATCAAAAAAGAAAAAAAAACTAATTAAAAAAAATAAAGTACTACACTATTCATATAAAAATGAAACTACACTATAGTATCCAACTAGACAGGTGACCTACACTAAAAGCTATCCTAATTTTTTTAAAGAAAAAAAATGGTTTGACATTTTCATATGTGAGAAAATATTTTTTTAAAAAAAACATATATGCTTACAAGAGAGGAGATATTTGGTTTGAGAATGCATGTTAAAAATCTAAACATAAACTAAAACAAAGTGGAATTAAAAAAAATGAAAAATAAAAACCTAAAAGAGATCACTTATTCATTATAGACTATAAGGTAAAACACAATGGATTAGCATAATATATCTACTTTTTGACCTTCTCTACGCAAAACAATTACCTTGCTAACAAGGTAAGGGTAAAGTTGTCTTTTCCAATAGATTTAAAGGTTATTTGTAAATTAATTGGGGATAATTTAGTAGGTTTACTCTTTTTTTTTTCATATTAAAACTACATCATTGCCCTTGTAAGTAAAAAAAACAATTTACCTTTGCTTAAGGTTCATTCTGTCTTTTCTATTTTATTTGCACAGATAAATAATGTCAATACCCTTGAGAGTTCAAAAATATTGACTTTGACATGAGGCATTTCTTAGTTTTTTTCCATGTTTTGTATACTTTACAATGAAAAAGTTAAGCTTAGAATAAAAAAAAATCTAATGTTGAAATGGGATAGTGTTTTCATCTTTGCAACATAGCTTTTTTTTGTAATATTTAGATGCTCTTAGGAGCTATTTAGTAATTTAAAGTATTGAAATATTAATAAATCAATAAAAAAAGCTAACATGTGCGTAACACGTGTTAGTGTGTAATAGTCCACCATATCATTCAAGAGGCCTGTAATAGTCCAATGTGTAATGTGAAGGTGTAGTTGATAGCATGACATGTCGTCATTTTTGTAGTGGTTCGATGGTGATAGAGGTTTTTTCTCCTCCCTCTCTTTTTTGGACTTTAATATTCATACCAAGCCTTTAAAATTTCAATTGTTTATCATTTTGTTAATTTAGTTTGTTTTTCCATTTAATCCCTCACTATTTTCTTTCAATGATTTTCCATAAAAGAATTTGTCCTTATTGTTTGGATTTTTATTTTTTTATGATGGAGAATTTTGCTTCATTATCTTTTGTTGTCTGTCATCTACAAGGTAATCCTTGTCTCATAATTCACTCTACCAATTTTGAATATCAACTCATTTTAAGTTTGGTATTTTTTTAAGTTATTTTTAAAAGTTAAT